ATTTATGCAAGTATATACATGCATATATATGAAAGTGTATATATTAGTGTATATTTGTCCAGTTGTTTGTAACTAACATAGATCTTGCAAATAATAGTCTCAATCTGATCCTAACTTATAGATTATGATACCTCCTTATTTAAAATGTGTTGATCAAGGTCGAGCAATCGGCCCTTCATCCAAGTGTTTCGGGGTTACAATAGCAGTAATTCCACGTAAAACTCAAGGATTATAAAAACTCGACCATAAAGAGAATTTTATCATGTTTGATCTGACAAACTCTAGGGCAAGTCTAGTATTGATCAGGGTTTAGGAGAAAGTCAATCAACTACTCGTGTATACTATATTACCTAGAACTTGTAGTGAACGCCATTAAATGTAATAGTTCTCACATTATTTGTAGTTATTTGGACCCCAGGATGACATTTATGATTAAAGGACTTGAGATAGTGGGCAACAACTCGGAAGGTTCGATATTATGTGGCTCAAGCGACCAAGGAAGTCAAGGTTAACTTCATCTGGGAGATGGTTCCGCCCCAAAGCATGACCACACTTTTTACCAGTCCAACCTCAGCAAACGCACATTTTAATATCCATTTATAAATAGGCATAAGTGACGTGAGGTTAGAGAGGCCTACCTGACTGTAATTGCCATTGCGAGCAACCAAGTTATTTATTTCGGATAAACACAGGTTTCGAGACTAATTAGTCATTATTGTCTACCAACTTAATCAGCCTAGCTCGCATAAAGTGGTTCAACGACTGGTATTCAAGTTAGGACATGTGTTTTCAATTACATTTCGCAATGCTACTTATTTTGAAGTAACTACTCATGTAGACTATCAGTAACTAGTGACTTATAACCTAGCCAACTTGGGTCGTTTAACGTGAGTTAATCACTGATACTTGAGTTTTTTGCAGCTAAGTCTTATGCCATCCTCAGGCCTAATCATGTCACTGAAAAAACACTCAAGTACCAATCGTTAAACCACCTTATGCGAGACCTAGACTGACCACATTTATGTTAAATAATTGCCATCAAACTAGATATGCTACTGAGTTTGTGGGTGACAGTAGTTTGGTTCACAAGTTTCAGCAGTCTGAGTGGTGCTGTTGTAGGTGGTACTAAAGCACGACTTAGCACGACTTATCACTTGTCCCGTCATCCCAACTTGACTGATGAAGTCTTCATTCCAGACTGGTTGATGCTCAAATTGCAGTTAAGTCAAGTTGAGAATCTATTTGGCAGTCATGGCGCGAGGATTCTTTTTCGATTTCTATTGGCCAGAATTGCTACCAGTTCCTGTAACATCACCATACAGCAATGGTGCAAAGTTACAAGACTGCGATTTCTGATACTTTCATACTCCGGCCTTACTGAAGTCCATGGCTAGCCACATTCGAGCTTAGTTGGTTTCAACGGAGACGATCACTTCGGTGCATTCTTTCTTGTCGAAAGATCTGTCCAACTAGCTTCTACGATGAGACAATACCCTTTCAACTTGGCTGCTTTGTAAAGGGAACTTTGGTATCGATGGGCGACCGCATGATGGTCAGTAGGCTTGGCTCGTCACTGACGCGATGCTGGCGGTTTTCTGGTGAATTCAAGCCCTATCCTCAAGTGTTAGGAAGAAAAGTGAACGAATTTGCGCCAAGAAATGACCTGCTGTCACCCAAATAGTCTTGTCAAAAGGTGATTGGGCAAAATGACTCAATGGAAACTTCAGCTCAACTCATATTATTGTGGGAAAATTCTCTTCTACCAGTCCTTCATCACCTTAAACGAAATTGGGTGAATACATTTCATAAAATGTTCCAGATTCACACGTAGGACTGATGAGGACTCTGGTCATGCTGTGGAGTGGAAACATCTTCGAGTTGAGACCCCGGCTTCTCATTTGGTCTCAAAACTCTCGGCCAAATAGAGGATTCATTCCTGAGACTTTAGTGATTTAGTTTTTTACTCTACGCTTTACTTCAAATGATAAGGTAGTCAGAAGTAATTCGTGTATTGCACCTACCGGAAACCGAGGATGGATTGCCTTGAATCGTATTGAAGACTTTCGGATTGTGCGACAAAGTCCTAAGCTTACCGTCCGGAGAGCCAGATGAGTCTGTGCTCAGCTTTCGTTTGTCCCACCCTGAATACACGTCATCAAAGCGAGACAGCCTGTTTTTGCAAAAACGCAACAAAATTCTTATTTTCGGTTTCTGGTTATCAAAATTGACGAATTGCCTCCAACCAACTTTTGCTTCAATATTAAAAGTCGATTAACACACTTTATTTCTACGCCCTGCTCGTTACACTTTGTGTTATCGTGGTCATCTTTCACCGTCAACGCAACAGCTGATTACACTCGTCTTGGACGGTGATCCGGCTCGTGGCGACTGGCTCACCGAACAGACGCACATGGTTTCCGGCTTCGGTCAAGAGGCCGGCCTGTCGGGAGGAGGCGGACTGGAGCCACGGAACATCCTCATTGTCATCATCCTCTCGGCAGTCTCGGCATTTCTGGCGGCAGTTTTGGTCAGTGCCATTCTCTGTATGGTGCGTCCATGTCAGACTGAGGCTGGCTCGGCCCAGCAACACTGCGGCCAGAATTGCGGCAGCAACGGGGGCTTTCGACGCCATTTCGGCCCAGGCAGCGGAGCTTTCAAGGCGTCCAGAGCTGTCGGAGGCGCTGGAACCGGTTGTCTCAAGCAAGAGGGCTATCGACATATCAATCACATCATCCAGGCATATCGAGACGGGCCGCATCAGAACGCAGTCAAGGACTTCCAAAGAGAAGGCAAATATGGTAAGTTCGAGTCTGCGCCTGGTGAGCATTTTGACTTATGCATATTCTTGCCGGCAGAACAATTTAAAAATCCTTAGAAAAACAAATAAATACTACTACTATTACTAGTAATAGTAGTATATTCGATGTAGCATAAATAATTATAGTATCAGAAGGAAAATAAGAAATATTCATGGTTGTAGAGGTAATAGTTGTTGTTACTTATTTCTAGCATCTCGATTTAGTCGGTCTCGGAATTATCAGTAATTATTTTATTTCATCCAAGTTGATGTATGCTCAGACAATTGGATAGCAGGGGGACTTTCCGT